AGAGACTGTCTCTACTCCACTGTACGTTCTTGTCTCCTTTGTCAAAGATTAATTGACCAAAAGTTTGTAGGTTTGTTTCTGAGCTCTGTATTCTGTTCCACTGATTCATATGTCTGTTTTTTATATCAATACCATGCTGTTTTGATTAGTGTAGCTCTGTGGTATTGTCTGAAGTCCAGTGTTAATTTTTGTTCCTCTTCACCTCAGGTTAACCAAAGCCATGTGCAGAAAAAAATGGCTTGTTAGAAACAGTATTGTGTATAAACCTTCAGAAAAAGATACCACTTTGTAGTCACATAAAGAAAAAATGGATCTCTTATATATCCTCTTTAAAAGAGGAGAAATACTTCTTTTTTATTATTTATCAGCATGACTGCAAATATGATTAAATTATTCATATAAACAATGTTGCCTTTTCTGTGTATGTGCCCCCAAACCTTTGCTATGTGCAGATGACAAGGAGGTAATGGTCATGATGATAAAACTCATATAGACATTGCCTCACCAGTAGTTTTGGTCTGGAATCCACAATATATGTGAAGAAAACCTTTCTGAATACATTTATCTCCAGGAATGTTTTTTCATCTAGCCATTAATATACTGTATGTAGAAAAAATAATGGATAAGAATTTCTTTCCGTCTCAATTCTGAAAGTGTTTCTTCCGATTTAAAAATAAACAGTCAGTGGAAATTGTGATGCAGCACTGCCTATGTATTTTGATTAGGAAATAACATTTTGATCCATCATAAAAAATATCTACTATATTGGAAATTCAGGGACTGGATTTCAGTCTAGCTCCACCACTAAGCAGAACTTGTTCAAGATAATTATTAGCTTTTCCTACCTGAGTTTCTTCATTCCATAACTCATTTACTTTGAGTGTCAAATAAAGAAAAGAATATACATTCTTTCTGCTTCACTTCCTACTTCATATGTACCTCTCTAGAAGTGTGCACACACACATCACATATATACCCATGGATAAGGTGGTATTTATTAAGTAGGATAGGCTAAAAGAACTTCCTATTTGAAAGTACGGAAGTGGAAATAATGGAGCAACAGGAAAACCATTTCCAGAGACACCAAGAAAGGGCACGATTAGGACCACTTCTGTTGGTACTTGTGAGCTGTGGATACCAAAGATCAAACCAGTAGTAACAAAGCCATTGTCTCAACAAGGAGGTCAGAAAAGTATTCCACTTTCCTGAAACCTTATCTGATCGCTTGAGTCAAATTTTAGAATTCCAACACTAGGTTCTTATTCCTTGCTATAGGTCTATTCTGATGTTTGTTCTTGGTTCTGTTCATCTCACAGCTGCTGATGGCCCAGGAGATCGTTTCATCATTGGGGAATCCCAAGCTGGTGAACAGGTGAGATTCACAGGCCTGAAAGGCCCGAAAGATTTTAGTTTCATGGACTTTCAGCATCTAATTCTAGACTTATGCCATTGTTGTAATGGAAATTTTAGAGAAGGATTAGACAGATTATCAAAGAGATTAAAGGATGGTTCCCCTGAGAAAGAATCAAGTGAATTTATTCTTAACTGAAAGAATCTGAGTCTATTAATATATGGCATGGTATTGTTAGTATGTCTCAGACATGCCCCACAAGCTTTTTCTAGCCCTGCATTGAATGAATCTTTCTTCCTGTATAAACATTAATGTTCTAAATAGAACTACAGCTTCTAAGTGGTCTTCTAAGACTTGTGTTACAAACAGGGAAATTTAGAAGGAACAGATTATTTAATCTCTCTAGGTAATCACTTAAATTAATTTTTCTCATTAGGGAGTTAACCAGGGAGCAGGAATATGTATATTTCTACTAAGAAATGAAGCACTAATGGGCCATAGTGGAAGTACAATAGAAATCCTCCTGTTTAATGCTTTTGAGATAAGTAATTGGCCATCTAATTGGAAATAAGTCGAAGTGAGAAATTATCTTATATTATTAAAATAAATATAAATTTAACATAAATAAATGAACATTTATTTGTCAGTAATTTGATGGAGAGCCAAGACTTTTAGTAAGTATCTTTTTGAACCTCTATCTGGTCTTTCTTGTTCAATTATACCCAAAAGATATTGTATATGATTTCCAGTTTTGATTTCTTTAAAGTGGAGAAAATTTTAAGGACCTTTGCAAAGTATCTAAGTTTAGAATTCTTCTAGATTTTTATTGTATTTTTTACAAATTTTTTTACAGTTGCTTCACCCACACTTAATTTGACAGTTCTTTTTAACAGCTTTTTTAAATAAGTTTTTCAAAAGTTTAACTTAATTTTTATAGGGAAAAATAATTCTCTTCACACCCATATGTTATTGGTTTATATAATATTTATTTAAATAACTTAATTCTATAGCAACTATTGCCACAAACTGGCACAAACAAGTTTGAGAACAACCTCAACTGAATCTTAGACAAATAATTTACAGGTATCCAGGAGGCTAACAACCTCAAACTTAAAGTGTGCTGTGGGCATCATTATGTTTAAGAGGAAGAAAAGAGTGTAGTTAATCCAATGAATTGTGAAAGTTGGTTAAAAGAGCTCCTTCCTTATTAACTAGAACCAGAGGAAGACCAATGCACTTTTCTCTTCTGCTACCACCAAGCACTCATAAACATTATATAAAAATAAAGGAGGAAATAAATAAATAAATAAATAAATAAATAAATAAATAAATAGATAGGACTGTTTGAGCAAAAGCTATGTCCCATGCCTTAGCATGTACTCCCATATGTACTAAGAATAGAGACGGGGTGGGGAAGTATATAGGAGAAGGATGGTGCTGGTGGTGGTGACCCTAGCTCCCTCACCTCTCCATCCAAGCACTGAGGGGTACTGTGTACAGGTCTCTGAAGCTAAGCCTGGCACTAAACTAATTAGATCTTTCTGCATACTGTGGACAGAACAGACCAAACAGACTGGTTTTGGTCTTCATGACTGTTTTCCTGACAAAAAGAACAACAAGGCTTGAGTCCCTTTATCATAAATGACTTACACTGTGACCTCATAACTTACTTGACCTCTTGTTACATATTTCCATCAGCAACGGACATCTAAAGCATTCATTTTTTAACAAAGCCCCAAAATATCAATTACTCAAGGAGAACGTCTTTGATCTTCAGTTGAGTCTGTCTAACATTTATCAAGTATACCTACTGTTTATATCAAGCCCTGTGCTAGGTTCTAGGGATCAGTTAATACATGGTTACTACCTTTAACAAGTTTACATCTAGTAAAGGAGACAGACTATAAATATAACTAAATATATCATATATAACTAAATATAACACAATATATTAAGTGTTTAATTAATGCTATCAGGCATGTGCTATGGAGCACAACAGGGAGCATTTCATCCTAGAAGGGTTAGGCAGATGATATAGGAGCTGGGCCTAAGGAAGTTTTACAAAAACAGAAATGAGAAAGGAACATTCTAAGCAGAAAATAGTATATAGGTCAAGACCCAGAGGTGTTTGAAAAATTGCATGAAATTAGGAAATTGCAAATAGTTTGTAGTAATCACAGCCTAGTGTACTTAGGGATGGGTAGCTGATTGTTAAGAGCCTTATGTCCCTTAAACTTTATTTACTAGTTAAGACTTCCAGCTGATAAATAAGAACACAAGAAAAGTTGTGAAACTGTAAAGTTACCAACTTCTAGTAAGTTCTTATGAAAGTTTTTGTAGATACTGACAGGCATATGCAGAATAGATAAACAAGATTATACTGTATAGCACAGGGAAATATATACAAGATCTTGTGGTAACTCACAGCAAAAAAAAAATATGACAATGAATATATGTATGTTCATGTGTAACTGAAAAATTGTGCTCTACACTGGAATTTGACACAACATAGTAAAATGACTGTAACTCAATTAAAAAAATGTAAAAAAATGTTTGATGGGAAATAAGACCAAAACTATATAAGAATACAGGGTTTTTCCTCAAGTTATCTTTGCTATTCTTTATCTATAACTAATGTATCATACACAGACATGCTTTATAGCAATCTGAGAGATCTTGGAGGAGCCAAATTGCTCACTTACTGAAAGTACATACACTCAAGCACTTGGGTGCCATTGCATACACTGAGGCAGTGATCTACAACAGTTTTATTGGTGTATCAAAATACTTGATCTTGAATCACTTAGAGTTTGGTCCCATTGATTAGCATTGGACACTTTCAATTTCAGTTACATAATTATGAAGTGCTATCATTAGGCAAAGTTCAAAAAATCTAATTCAGTACCTCTATTAAGGAAAATCAAGATTTTGATAGTTTTTACTTTTCATAAAGTATATAAGGTATGTATATCAATAAAAATAAAAAAGAATTAGTTACTAGTCTTAACAGTCTAAAGGAAGTACTTCATGTATTGCTAGAGTTTTTTCGTTTGATTTAACTCAGTTGCAGTTTATATGTCTAAGTGGATATATAAATGTTTTTGTATATCCAATAATATCTTTTACATTAGATTTAATATAACTGAACTGATAGGAATTCTTCACCCACCCACCACTTAGAATTAATGGCCTTGGATGGGAGCCAAATTTTTTATTTAATAGCCACACAAAAATACTTAAGAGTTTGTTTAGGCCAAGAAGTAAAGTAAATTACAGGAACAACCACAGTAAAACTTAAAGCAAATTTACAGAATATGGTACATTGAATGGGACTAAATTGAGTCAGGGCTCCAGGCCAACACACTTCAGCTTAAGAAGCAACTGCTGTGAAACTCACTGTGGGATTCACTTTCTGCCTTTTCAGAAAGGCACTTTCAGAAAAAAACGAAAGAAAAGGAAAAGAAAAAAGAGCTTCTTTAGGCCTATATTAAATATTTTTATTCCGCAGCCTCAGAAGATAATTTTGACATTGGCATCTCCACTAGAAAGCACGTATGTCATATCAAAAGTTTAATACTTTTCATCAGAAATCATTGCACTGCAAAATGGTCATGTTTAGTGGATTGAGAGATACACCAGATAATAAGTAGTATCTAGGGTTGAAAAAAAAATTAATGCATTGGGCCGTAAGGTTTTTTTTTTATTCTATTCATTGTCTTGGTAGAAAATTACACGAGAATGTAGCAATTCTGAATACGCCTGAAATGTCTTTTATTTAAATAACAGAATAAGGGAATATAAAGTGCGTAGCTCAAATGCCAGATCTGATCCCAAGAAGCTCTTTCTCCAGTGACTTGTGGGGGAAAAGCAGGGAGAACACTGGAATTGTAAGCCAAAAAGAATGCATACTTCATGTATTTGCTGTGATAACGAGATCATGCATGTTTATTCATTCATTCTAGAAATATTTATTGACTACAACTTTGTGCCAGACACTTTGTAGGCTTTGGGATGCTAGAGCAATAAATGTGTCTGGAAAAGGAATGGTTAAAGAAGATTAATGCAAAGACTCTATCCAAGATATAGACAGGGTTAAGGGAAATTAACAAAGGAATGTGAAGCCCTCAGGCGTGAGCAACAGAGCTGAAGGGGCAAAGGGAGACGTGGTACATGGACCTGGAGAGATTCACATCTGTGAGATACAGCCACCAGTAGGAGCTATGGTGTCAGAGGTGGAAATGACATAGCCATCACCAGACCTAGCCCAGCAGGTAAACAGCAAGGGGAATAAAAACTCTACTTCTCTTTCTCCTACTCTCTGATCTCTTGTTGGCCCCTCCCACTGGCTAAACCTAACCAGAAGCCAGAGTGTTGGGAACCTGGTTGAAGCATTCCATAGAGATAAGCGCTCTGGGCTACAGCACAGGATGGAAAATGATGATGTGATCTAGAGAGCCAAACAGAAAATGAAACAAATTTCTGTCTTTGTAGCACTTGTATTCAAGAATATAATAATGCACTTAACAGTGAGCCTAGCATAGATTATGTGTTCAGAAATATTAGCTACTGGTGGTATTGTTCACAGCAATAATATCATGGAGATAAGCTTTTAAAGACTTTTCTAACAAATAAATTTCCAGTAATACTTTGATTGTACATTTAGTGGAAGGATATTTTTCCTTAACCGTTCCCTAATTTTTTTAATGTGGTAAAAAAATACATATAACATAAAATACATCATCTTAACCATTTTTAAGTGTTTAGTAGTATGTTTAAGCTCAGTAGTATTAAGCATAGTCTCATTGTTATAACCTAAAAGAAGCAAATATCTTTGAAAAGATACCTTTTTTATTGGGGAGTTAATATTATCTCAGAATTTTCCTTTTGGGGAAATTTAAAGCATCCCTTTTCCCAACTCTAACCTAAATCATGGCCCATGACAAGTGATTCTTTTGAGGCCAGAGCAAACCTATTAGATGGATCTGACAGAAATACGCTTTTTCCTATACTGGGAGAATTTTGCTGGGCAGATCTGGTAGTCAGTCTCTTTACCATCCATATGAGAGTTCAGACAATGAAAATCTTGGATATAATGGTTAACCCAAATCATTATAAACACTGGAATCATTTTTAAATATTTAATTACATTTGCTAAACTTTTATTATTAATTGCAAGGTGAACTAATATACTTTAGAAAGATTTTCAGGAACAATAGTTAAAGTAATTTTCCTGGCTCGCCTTTATTTAACCGAAATTTTGGTTAATAAAGTACTGCATTTCTCAAACATCAGAACTTCAGTACATGATCAACATGCTGGTTTTTCATAGTTGTCATTCATAAAATCATATTGCATGGTATTTTTTAAAAGACTGTCAAATCACTTTACATATATTAAGAAAATTCACTTTATTTGAGGGAGAGACAATAGTGGCAAATGTAAGTGGCAGTTCTTCAAAAGGAAAACAAGGCCAAGAAAGACATCAAATAGTCATTACCTTAAATCAGGTTAAAGCCTCTAGTGTAAATGGACTTACCTGTGACTTTTATTACATTTTCCCCAAAAAAAGACTGTAAGACTTTCCTTTTATGGTTTGTTTCTAAAACTGTTACATCTCCTGCTGAATTTTCCTTTTCAGCAGCAAAGTAAATCAACTCTTTCCTATATGTTTGTATTTGCAGCCAACTCAGACAGTAATGCCAGGACAAGTCATGCGGGTTACAACAGGTGCTCCAATCCCCTGCGGTGCTGATGCAGTAGTACAAGTGGAAGATACTGAACTTATCAGGGAATCTGATGATGTACGTCATCACCAGGTCTTATGGCTCTATTCCTATGACGATATTATAAGTCATGCCCATTTTCTGCAATGTTTATGAAATTAACCCTTTTTTTTTTTGGTAATGTTAGGATCTTACGTTGTTGTTTATGGGCCTCCAGTAAATAAGGGAATGGCCTAAGTTGAAAATGTTTTGTTATGAATGTTTTTATGATCATTACTGTGATTATAGCAGAATTTGAACTACATTTGATCCAAGAAATTTCACACACAAACAAGGAAAGAATCTATCTCAAGATAGAAGAGCAGAGATATTCATTGTTGACATATCTTCTAGCTGAGAAATTAGTTCATTGAGACTAGCTCTGATAAAATGTGAAGGAGAATTTAACAGAGAAGAATTCAACAAAGACTCTTGGGCAAGTTCTTGACTATTCCACTAAGCCAGGTTTTTAAACCAAGTGACCTTTTCAGCTTTGGTTTTCTATAATTCAAGAAAATCTGTGCCACCAGATTACAGCCTAGAAACATTAAATTTATGCAAATTTACCCTCTATTGCCTAGAATAAAGGACCATGGGATCTTTTTTGATCCAGGGGGACTTTTATCTCACTGAAACTTGGCAATTATTGAAACCAGAGGATCAGTCATTAATAAAAGAATAGTTTCAACTGAGGTTTTAATGACTGGCTCTCTTACTTGTTTTGTGAAGAAGTTTAAGATATCTTATATTTTTAAAGTTAGAGTTAAAAATAAATATATATTCTTCTCAGCTGGGTATATAGTAAAATTTGACCAGCTGAGAGACACCCTCTTTTCTTGATTTGGAGATTTTCTTTTTAATCACCTTCCCACAAGTAAGGCTTATAAAATTCAACTCTTGGCATACAGATCACATTGCCCTGCTGCTAAAACTGTCCAACGGATTTATTAGCATCAGGGAAGCCAGCAGAGCATTGAAATCCAGAACACATGCATCCACAGACTGCCAGATGACAAGACACAGTTCCAGTGTCACAATGTTATTCACAGCCCATAAATGTAAAAATGATGATCACAGTTGATTTATAGAAATCTACTACCAGGCAAACTGTAAGTCCTTCACTGAAATTTCTCCAGATATTTGGGAACCTCGGCATAGTATTTATTTAACCTATAATTTATGGGAACAGGAGAGACAATCTATCTCCACACACATTCTCTCTATCTCTTAAGGTAGTCATCTACATTTTTTTTGTTTTTTCTTGAAAATGCTACTTAAAAAGTAAGAGTCAGTATTTGAATTGGTACATTTTTTAAAGCATGAGAATTAGTGAAAATGTTTTTAAATTTATTTATTCATTCATTCATTCCTTGACATTACACCTAGTTTTTTGGGAACCTGTGGTAGAAATTCATCATGTTCAAAGGGTTTAACAAAGGATTTTCTGTTCCTCTGTATTTTTATATATTCTAGGCCTATCTGATGATAAAGCAAATAGTTAAGTAGTTAAATTCTGTTGATCAAAATTCTGTTAGATTGTTCTATTTGAAATTACATGACTTGCTCTCACAGGGCACTGAGGAACTTGAAGTACGAATTCTAGTGCAAGCTCGGCCAGGCCAAGATATCAGGTAAGTTCCTAACATAGAGAGTGGAGAACTAACTTCTGTTTCTAACATGACCATGAATTCAGGAAACCTTGGCTGTTATACATGCAGAGCTCTGTCAATTAACCATTGGCTTTCAGGGCTTTAATAGCAAAATTAATTTCCTGAATTCTGTATACCATGTCAGCCCTACCTACTTTCTTGTAAAGTTGATAAAGGCAAATGAAATATTCAAAAGCAACATGAGAAGGAGGTAGATGCATGAGCCTACATAATCCACAGTTAATTGTACTCCTAGGTAATCCAAATTTGATAGTCCAGAATTTGATATTAACTTAAATAACTTAAATAATCTTTGAGTTGAATCTTTATATAATTAGCTGATAGCCTCTTGTCTACTGACTACCAATAATAATAATGGGATAATGTGCTACTCTTTGTATACAAAGTTGAGACTACTGTCCTACTGTAAGTGGTGCATATACTTCAAATACTTTTACTTACAATGAAATATGTTTTCTCTGACTCCATTAGTACTAATTTGTTCAACATTTTGTAACGAAGCTATACCTCTCCCATTCCTCTGGCAGCAGGCTAAGATGAATGGACCTCTGTGGCTGCAGAGCTGGACCAACCTAAATTATTTCCATGACTGTATCCTCATTAGCATTATTCTTACCACAAAGCTGAGAAGCTGTGGGTCTCTTATCATTAATGGCATTAAATCTGTTTTCATATAAATTCTTGACTTGCATCAAAGAAAGTTTACAATTGGTGTTCTTGACTATAATGTGGTACAAAGCAATTTGTCAAATAATTTTCAAGCATAAAGTAACATATTCCTGTTTAGCAATAGTAGATACAAATCTATTTCTGTCTTCTGTTGTGTGGTTTAAGTTTGTTAATTAAAAAGGTATAGAGTTTTAGAATCTCATTTTATTTTTCTGTTCCTGCCTCATCTTTTAACCCCTCTTGAGTGTCCTCCTTCACTGACACTAAAGTTTCCCTCTGAGTTGAGAAAATATTGTTCTTAGTCATACTGCTTATGGTTCTGCTTTGACTTTCAGACCTATTGGACATGACATTAAAAGAGGGGAATGCGTTTTGGCCAAAGGAACCCACATGGGCCCCTCAGAGATTGGTCTTCTGGCAACTGTAGGTGTCACAGAAGTTGAAGTTAATAAGTTTCCAGTGGTTGCAGTCATGTCAACAGGGAATGAGGTAAAAAAAAAAAAAAAGAGGGGGACAGTGGCAGAGGGAAATGGTTGTGGGGGTGGGTAGTGGGGCTTTCAGATGAAAGCGTTTCTGACATTCTGCATACTGTGTTATAAATAGAACACTGCAGATTATAGATCTTAGCACATTTCTATAACAGGGAAATAATAAATTGTCCTCAGGATAGTTCAAATATAGATGAGAAGGAAGAACTAGAAATTACATGTTAAGAATAAGTTCTCTTCCATTTATTAGAGTGAAATATTCTAACCAATGGCCTTCCACACACTTAATGCATATAAACAAAGAATGCTGACTGCTTGCCGTAGATATTCAACTGTGCAAACCCAGTACATAGTCTATTAGGACAATAAATTGTGCCCACCCTGCACAATTGAGATGATGGGCCATCTCTACATGAGAAGTAATTCAGTGAATCGAGACACCATGGCTAGCCCTTCTTCTTGCTGAACATTCCATGTGATCTTTAATCACCAGGATAGATTTGAAAATCAGGGTTGTTGGGTTTTTTTTCTTT